AGTGGCCTCCCGCTTTCCTTGCCTGCCTGGAGCCGCTTTCTGTCTCCCCAGGATGACCAGATCGAGCGGGAGTGGGCAGCCCAGCACCTGTCCGGGGGCTGCTGCGCCCTGGCTGCCATCTACCTCATGGGCAAGTTCTACGTGGCAAACGCTGGCGACAGCAGGTATGGCCCCCCGGGCAGCCTCCACCTCTTGCCTGGTAAATCGGGGAGCACCCAGAGCAGGGTGGTGCTGAAGGCACGGCCGGTGAGGAGCACTGGCTCCATCCCTGGAGCTGGGCTGTGCTGGGGAGGCCGGGGGCAGCAGAAGCAGGCAGAGCCAACCTGCCTGTGTGCCCCAGGGACAGCATGCCCTGCTGCCATCTCACTCTTGCCTGGTGCATGGAGAGGGCTGTGGAATCATCCCCCAAAATCTGGGACTTACTCCCTTCCCAGCAGCATCCCGGCTGCTTCCTAGATGGCTCTGGATCCCACCCCAGCCCCTGCTGCAGCACTCGCCTGGGCTGCAAGCTGGGGAGTGGATATTGCCATCAGCAAAGTCTGCAAAAATGTGCAAGAGGTGATTTTAGAGCCCACTTCATACCAGTGGACTGTTTGAGGAGAAGGACACACAAATCTATGTGCAGTCGAGTCCCGTAGGAGCTTGGAGCTCGGATTTTGACTGATGATGCATTTCCTTGGGTGCTCTGCTGTAATTGTGCCCGGGTGCATTCACACCCCCCAAGCAAAGGCAAGTCCACCTTCTGCTGAGGTCGAAGCTGGTTTGGTTGCCCTGTATTTACTGCAGGGTTAGCGTGTCCCCAGCAGTGCCACGCCAGCAAATACAGGCTCTGCAGATTGTCTGAGGCTGGAGGACGTGCTTCCAGCTCTGGTACAGAGAAGGACAAGATCCTTTGTGCCTCCGCTTTTGGGTGCAGGGTCCCTCTGTGGCAGCAGGGGCCAGGGGCCACCCACGCAGGACGGCAGTGTGCACAGGGTCCCGAGGCTGTAACCGTGCCTCTGGGCAAGGGTCCGTGTTCCCTCCTCGGGCATCAAACAGTGCCAGAGCTGGGCTGAGCCAGGCTCAGCAGCCCTCGGCAGGACAGCACGTGGGGCAGCTGGGCCACCAGCGCTGGAGATCCTCAGTCCCCCCATGACCTCCAGAAACATCTCAAAATCAGACTTTTATTTTTTTTTTGACACATCAGACAATCAGAGGAGCCCCAGCCACGAGCCGCAGTGCCAGTGTGTGCCGGGCGTATCCTGCTGCTGGCGATTTCTGCCCATCCCGTGTGCGGCTCCCCTCTAAAGAAGGGTTTGCCACCTTTGTGCCGCTCCTTTTCTAACCATATCCTGTCCTTTGGTTTGCTCTGCCTCATCCCCCTCTGCCCTGTCCTTCTCTTCCATTTTCTCTTCCTCCCTGTCCTGCGCAGGAGGGAGGCATGCCCTGCCCGCCCCGGGTTACCTGCAGCGGAGCCAGCAAGCAGCCCCCCAGCTCGGGGCTAGGAGGGGGGCAGGCAGCGGAGGGGAATGGGTTGCACCGCCTGGGCAGCCGTGCAGGGAATCGGAGCCGGGCGTAGCTCCCCCGCCACATCTCCTCTCCTCTGATCTCATCCTTCCATGTTTCATTGCAGGGCCATTATCATCCGTAACGGGGAAATCATTCCAATGTCCAGGGAGTTTACTCCAGAGACAGAGAGGCAGAGGCTGCAGTTTTTAGTAAGAAAGACCTTTCTTCTAACCTCATT